AGTTAAATGACGAAAAATTAGGTGTATATTTACTTGTGACCACTCAGTGTATATCAGTGGTTACCAAATTTTAACTTCTGTTCTTTTTTCAAGTCTATTTTAGCTTGTTATACAAATGCATATTATTTATACAGCTGACACATTATTTGTTCATTATTGTAGACATATAACTCAGTTTCTTTATCAATTCATAATAATTTTAAATCAAATACTACTCTCCCAGAATGTTTGGTTTGTTGTTAAACACAAAGCTTCTCAGTGAGCTATATGTGCTGTGCCCACCACATAGCTCAAATCCAAAGTTTAAGTATTATAAGCCCTCAAGCTTACTGTCAAGCCATTGGTGGCGCAACAGTCCCATCATGCAGATAAATCTGAATTTCTGTAATTCTTATAATTTCAAAATGGTCTTGTTTTTCATAAACTGTATGTTTCCATTTCAAAATGAGATGTCTCCACAAAAATATTAGTTGAGATAGGTTTATAATGGGTTTCAAATCTTTTGATATTTTTAGAGCCACAAAGAGATGGTAGTAAAACCTAGCATAGCATGATATATGAGTTTGACTGCTCTTTTCTGAAGGAAATATGAGAATTACTGGATTGAAAAGAAAATATAATAATATTAGAACGAAATGCCAATCGCAACCAAGAATCCCACAAATAAACCAATAATACAAGACAATCCCATAGTCCATATAGGAAGTTCTTCTTCAACAGAAGAGAATCATTAAGAGGATCAACAAAACCCACCTTGCTGATAACTACTTTTAGCCATTCAGTAGGATCGAAAAGAACACGTAGAATTACTGAAATCCATTGAGAAGTAGACAAAGGAGGCAAGGCAGGCAGAAAAATATTACTTACATGTCATCTTGAAAGGAACGTAGTAAGTTAAAATTCTAAAATCCTAATCAGCTCTTGCTAGTGTGTTTCTCCTGGATGGTAAACTAACATGGTTGAAATCCTGCAAAGACAAATGGTGCAGGGAAAAATCTCTCTCTTAGGATCAGGGAGACAAGTACCTTGTAATAAGGCACACTAGGCTAAGATGTCAGAGGAGTATAAGTCATGCAGTAACAGAAAAAAGTAAAAATAGTAAGAACTGTAGCTTAGGAAGACTTAAATTTAAAAATTTAATCCAGATACTCTACCTAAAACAATCAGGAGAATGAGGGTAAGTGATAACAAATAAATACTTTGAAGAAGAAAATCTCAAAATGAGAGAAATCATAGCTGCAAAGCAGAAAGCTGACAATGGGGTGAAAGTAAAAGACCCTGTAACAAAAAACAATGTGATGGTCAAGAGCTTCAGAAATAAGATGGATAGAGGAAGATAATTCTGCTGAAAGGCTATTAATATTTAGCTGATTTCTAAAAATATAAAGATTCAAGAACTGAATCATACAACATCAGGCACAAAAGTAATTATTTCAAAACTTATAATAGGACATACCTGAGAAGAAAAGAAAAAGACAAATCAAACCAGTAGAAGCTTTTTCAGAAAAGGAATATATTGAAAATCCTGTTTTTCAGACAATGAAATGAATAGGCCAACGCAAAAGATAGATCACTTTTTTATCACCATGAGAAAAGATCCAGATGTTCTACTCTTGAGCATTGTGAAATCCACTAGCAGACAATACATAATTAATCACCTGAATGAGTTAATCAATATAGTCATGAGATTTCCCTGCACATTACAGGCAGTCTATGTGAGTAACTAGCACCTCCAAAGAGCTTGCAAAGTATCCAATATTGGTAAAAACATCTGTAGCAGTAGTTAATTTTGACCTCAGGATTCATGGTGAATGAAGTTAACAGCACAAAGATCAGCAAGAAATTCTGTTTTCTGACAAGATAGCAGAGTTTATGTATGTCCTCCTTATGCATGTGCAATAAGTCAAGTGGAAGATGAGAGGGTGTAGAACTCATAAGTTGATGTATGCTCTGCATCGTGTAAAGTCAAGATTTTCGACAGCATGAAAGCAAATTCAATAAGGAAAGATTTTTTTAGATATTTCAAAGATAAGTCTACTTCATTTTAGTATCTTGTCTGGCTGCTGATGCATTTTTTCACATGCCTCTTAGTTATTCTGCTGCAGGTTCTTGCACACCTCTGGTGTAGTGCGTGATCTTTTAAGTTATGATAAAGAATCTCTTTTCTATAGAGATTTCTCTAAATACAAATTTATTATCATTAACTTCTGATCAAAATAAGCTATCTACATGGATCAAAACGAAAAATTAAGCCAGTATAATAGCTTACTCAATATATCATTACAATATGATTAGAATGTACTGAATCATCAGTTGAGTTCACCCAGCTTTGGAAACATGTTTCTGAATATATATAGGAAATATTTTAAAAAACTTTACACTTACAGTTTCCATCTGTCTTTTTAAATTAATAAAGAGATTTGCAAGTGTGGCAATGGCAACTCGTGCAACTGAAGTCCGTAAGTTTTGAATCTCTCTAATAACAGCTAGTACCACAGAATGAAGATGACAATGCACCACTGATGAATGAAAACTAGCCAAATGGTCTAGGTTCTTCATTGCTTCCACTTGTTTGGTCCTGAAATATTAAATATATAAGAAATTACAACAAAATTCATAGGTTAATTATTAGCAATGAACAATTAATATTTACTTCTAATCAGAGCAACTTACCTACTTAAGAGTGAAATTAGAAATCAACCTGATAATAAGCATAACTAATTGGATATACTTTCCTGCATATAAAAATTAGAATGCATTGTTTCTTCACTTGGGTACCCTTGTTGATAATGGTATTTTTGGCTGTGGTTCCAATAATAATGCATGAGGTTTGGCCAGCTTAAGTTTAGGTTAGTCATAAATCCATGTAGTAAGCTAACAATGCATTAAAATCTCTGTACTAAAAGTATAATGATAAAAATAAAACTAAAAAGTAATAAAATTAGATACATTAAACAGTTTAACCAATACTGTTAATGAAAGTAGCAATAAAAAATTATAATATAGCATACCTTACTTATAGAACACAGAAACAATAGCTGTTGGCTAAACTGTTATCATAGAAGTAATTTTCTTTGAAAAACGTGACATCAGTATAATAAGCTGACACATCTTATGACCAATGTACACTGATTACACACCTCCATAAGTGTAACTTTAGGAGTGTGGCATCTGTGACAAATTACTATGAAATATGTTACTGTTTAGTTGTGTTGAACCAAGTAATAAGAATTTACCAACAGTACAGCCAAAAAAACTAATGTTTATAAAGATACAAAATAAGAAATTAAATAAACACTTACAGAGAAAACAACATGAAAACGTACTATGAGTTGTGTTTAACAAAACCACTCGCACATGAATTAACCCCTGTCACTTATCAAACACATAAAGCAGGCAAAGGAAGTAATAAATAAAGTTAAAACATCTATAAAAGCCAAAAACGAAACATGATAAGACTGTATAAAGTTACAACACTCATTAATATATCAAAAAAAGTAATTAGCAAAAACCACTGTTGCTAAACTAATGATGTAATATCATACTATATATGGAACTGTTATATAGCAAGTATTAATTAACAATATATGGTAAGACCTTAAATAATGGGAAATAAAAACCATTGATGGTCAATACTATAAAGTGGTTCACTATTACCCTCAACAATTTCCAAAGGAACAAAAGTGTAGATATGAAAGTTTTTTAAAGAACATGATATTCTATAAAACTTCTAAACCCATATTTACTAACAAAGGAAGATTGTTGAATTTCCCATAGAATTAACATTTTTCTTACCTGAAAATATATTTCAGATGGTTACTCACTTATCTACACAACAAAGAGCTATTGTCTTGTGCTACTTCCATGAAGATTTTTGCCATGTCACAAAATCTGAATGAATATTCCACCTTACCACCTTTTTATGTGTATTGCACTAGAGCTATGATGTAATCATCATTATAGTCCTCCACTAGAATCCTCAAAAGAGAAAGAACCTCTTGCACAAGAAAAGATGAAGATAGGATAGCTTTGGTAATCAGATACTCCATGACTTGTTTGTGTGAATGGTTCAGTCTGCACTTCATACCAATCAAAAGAGACTTACAAGTCAATAAGATATTGGTGTGGGGTGCTGATAATCTTGTAGAACTTGATCAGCCAACCAAAAAGCAAGAGGGAGCCAGTCATCCAGATCGTAGTGGGAACGTAGATACAAAAATGCATCCTCCATGTGAATGCACTCATGATGATTGAAAACATACAGGGCCATAAGTAACCTGAAAGGAAGTGCCCAGAACAAAAACAATGTGATTGTCATGAAAAAACCAGAGACAATTTTGAGCAGCTGTACAAATTAGGATGTGGAGAAAAACATTCGAAACATTTATTTTGGCCATTCACAGTCTAGAATAGAACACTTATCTCAGATTGAGAAAATTCCCATCTTGAATTGGGGGATGACAAAAAAATTGGTTCATGGATAAGAGATCTATTCCAAGGCACCAATCTCCTGTCTTTTTGGTAACAAAAAAGAGACATGAGTAAAAACCCCAAAGGGGGTTTAGGACCTGTTTCATGACATTCATGACACATTGAAAATACACGGCCTCTTCCAGGTGTCGAAACTGCTCAAGCTCTGAGGGAGTGAAAACCAACCAGAAAAAGAGGAAGATGAGTACAAAAAGACAGGAAAGTCCATGAGAAAGCATCTTTGTGACTCAAAGGTTGTTTGCAAACGATGTCCACAGAAAACAAGAGCAAGAGAATGAGGAACAGAAGAGAGTGCAACTAGACAAGACAGGAAACCTGTTGGGACCCCTGGGCTAAGAAAATCAGAAAATTAAAGTAATCAGAGAAAACTGCTGACAAACAGTCTCAGCTTGAGTTAACAAAGTGTAAGGAACACCTTCAAAGACCTCATTTAAAAGGAAGGATACCATACAGAGAGGTCTTAGTGATAAGACTGGGAGAGGCAAACACTCAAAAGTAAGGTATCCCAACTAAGAAAATCCCAGAAACAACGAAACCAAGTTAACTTGGGCACAATGAAAAAAAATATAAAAGGAAGGGTGTAAAAACAAGTATGTGTTAGTTTCCCCAGTAAAGCTGACAGAGTTATGAGGTAAAGCCACAAAATGAAGGTGAAGTATGGACAGATAGCAAATAAGTTGAGTAAGTAAGATGCAAAGATGAACAGATTGGAAATGAGAAAGATAAAAAAAGAAAGATGGAAAAAATAGAAGATCTCCAAGCTGAAAGAAGAGGCTCAAGTGATGGAAGCAAATGCAACAAGACAGCCCAAGCAAATGGAGAAAGAGAAAACAAAAACCTGTGTAATCTAAGTAATGAAGATGAAATTACCTGAACCCCGTTGAGAAGAGGGAACTAAAAGATAAAGCAGGCATGGAAACAACATTGGTGAGACTCATTGAAAGATTGGGCTAGCTTAGATGAAGTAACAGACACAGAAGGTAAGGAATCATTGATTTGAGATTACAATAGAATCAACCACCAGGTGCACAATGATGGTAATATCATTGACCATCAGGTGTACCTCCAATCACCATTACAATATTAGATGACTCCTGTTGAGAAATGACAGAATATTGAGAGATTTCATAAACATGAATGCGTAATTCAGATGATCCATGAAATTTACTTTATTTTAGAAATAATACTTGGCCTGATATATCTATAGTGCATAGGCCTAATGATGATACTGAAGAGTACTTAACTAAACCTGTACATTGGATTAAAACAACAAGAACTAGTACTGTACAAGAAGCTTTATCACAGACAATAGGACATGTATCCCAAAATTACAAATCTGATTAAAAGAAAAAAGTCTAATCAAAAATAATATGAAGTTCTAACTGATATATTTAAAATTTGGTTTCTTTCTTTCTCATAATCAAGAAATAAAGACTATACTACAAATGATAATGAAACTTTCAAATAATAAGTGCAAAAATGTTGTTAATTCCTAAGAAAAACATATACAAACAAAGCAGTGCTGAAGAAAGTATAAGCCTTTGTTCAAATGCTAGTGCTCATGGGGATTAATTTACATGGAGGATGTACTGCCCTCCTTTTGATGGAGGGTTATGGTTTAATGATTATTACATTATAGGCTCATGCAATACATATTAGTACATGTATGGGTTGGGACTTCATTCAAGGCTTGTGGCATCTCCAAAAACCTCACAGGAATGACACAAGATAATAACTCTGTTGTGCAGAAAAGTGAATATATATTTTTGAATTAAATTAATTGTGTGTTTAAAATGTGCAATGAGAAACCATGTTTGTGAAAATGAGAGTGAGTTAACGAATTCTATCCATAAAGTCTTGTAATAATGAACAAATTCTATTGTATCTAATAAGGTTTAAGTAGTAAACATTGTAACATAACTTATTTGGAGTATTCATATTTGGAATGTACAAGTTTATTGCTTCAAAGTTGAAAGTGTTTTATTCAAAATTTTGGATTTGAATGTTAGATTAGTGATGCTGATATCTAAATCCAGATACTATACTTTGTGAAAGAGCTTTTTCTAGAATGAGCTTCAGGAAGTTCATTTGCTAAGCTGTGTCTAGAAAATCTTGATAATTTGGTATAAGAAAATCATATATATAGATATACAGGTGCAATTAACATACAAAGCTTTACTCTAGTCTTTCTAACCAAGATTTGTAATGTATGAAAATTCCAGTCCAAATAAATATAAATCTGCAATTTGTGAGCTGAAATTACCTACCATTGGAATTCCTTTTACCAGTTAGAAGACACACTGACCAACTTACACAAATGTGTTTTCAAGTGAAATATACATGGCCTACAAGAATTCATTTGATGTGAAACAGTGATCATTTTCATGAGTAACATTGTCATAAAAGTTATATATTTACTGATGCAGAAGATTATCTTACTAAAATTATTAAAAGACCTTGAAACTGATAATGAGACTCTTTTTAATTTTATTAATAGGAAGACTAGTGTAAATATTACTCGCAAAGTAACATATAAACCTCTGAGACCTCTTGTTTGATAAACTTCTAAAAAGTCTTGTAACAAACTATCCTATGCCCAAGACTATGTGGCTGATGTTTAATCTATTGAAAAAACATGGATTATTTATAAACTGATAACTTGGAGAAACACTACATTCATTTTAAAACTGTTTGTTAAGCCCACAGGAGTAAATTGTAATTTGTATTTTCACCCAATAGTACTCTCTTCCCACTAGTTTCGTGCATAAACCAGACAAATTTTTACACTGTATGAATTCTACAGGTAGAATGCAAAACTCTTCAAAAGTATGTTCTTGAGAGCCTAAGTGCTGAAAGAGGAAATTTGGGCATTTCTTATTTACTTGAAGACCTGTCGCCATTCATTCCGTTTCTCAAAAATTGCAATGTCTTGTATACATATTAAACATCACATTTTCTACAATATACAAGTTTTAGTACTGCAGTGTAATTCATGAAGATAATTATTATTTACAGAAAACTTTTTGTTTCTATTGTAGCTAGCAGATGTATTGTTACAAATTATGTAGCCACAACTCGATTTTTTTAAAATAACCTTTTAAGTGCTGTAACATTAGCTATTATCAAATGATTCAGATATTAATCATTCTCAAAGTCTGGTAACAAGAGAAATTTGAAACTGACAAAGTCTCAAACTTTCAAGTTTGTGTATTCACCTCAAAATCAATGTTTGTTTTCATGAGAAAAATGGTATCACATGAGATAAGTTAGGGGTGCAACTTGAAAACTACTGTACAGTAATTCGAACTAAGCTACTGTTTAACAAATGGAAGCAAATGATTGAAGAAATAATATGATCATTTGAATAAAATACTATCTTGAACCTTTGACAGTTTTCATCTGCCACATGAAGCCAAAGAAATATATTATCCAACAACATGAACATTCATCTTGACTGATCAATTATTAATATTATAAAATAAAATACACTACTGCTCAACTAGCTTATTGTAAATAATTGAGACTCACTCTGTGATTTCCCAAACAAACTCAAATTGTACTTATTTGACTCTTTGCAGTAGTTTTTATAGAATTTAAAAACAAAAAACACATTTTTTTTGCTAACCCTATAATGATATATACACGTATAATAAAAAAACTTTATAATTTTATAAAGACAAGTAAGAATCAACATATACTTAACCCTAGTTAGCTATAGTAATACAGAAAGTTTTATTGCTACAAAAAGTATTGAAATAAGAAAATCAAAACTATAAAAACTGAGTTACTTACAATTTCATCCCTACTTTGGATTAGGCTAACATAATTACAGTGATTTGTCAAAGTAGGGATGAATTTTTTTAAATTTTAAGTAACTCACTTATTGTAGTCTTGACATTCTTGTTTAAATAGTTTTGTAGCATTAAGCTTTCTATATTACTATAGCTAGCTAAGGTTACGTATATATCAATCTCTACTTGCATTTATAAAATTCAAAATGTATACATCATATTTGTTTGTTTCCTTTTCATTAGCTATATTTTTGTGCACCAGCAATACCAAGTGTGGGGCATGAGTATACCTGATTTTATTTCATTACTCCTGAGAATCTCTACCAACCTAGCCTCAAATCTAATTATTTGTCCAGAGTAGTGCATCATCCTTTATATATATATATACTAGTATCTTTTTTGATATAAGAAAGGAATCATCGTGACCCCAGAAAGAAGAGTTCTGTGAAAGAATTAGAGTAATAAGGTTCATAATTTTTTCTGTATGCTTGTCCAGAAAAGTCACTTACTTACTTATTTAGATGAATATTCGTTGAAATAGTGAAATTTTGATTCACTCCATAGACACATATATAGCAATTTTGGCAGCTTTACAAGTACAATGAGCATTAGTTTCACTTAATTAATACTGTGAAATAGTCATTGTTAATATTGAGACATTTTAAATGTGGTTTTAAATGGGCAATTTTTATGGTGACCATTTTGTTTCATCACTACCATACTTAATGATAATTTTCTCTTTTTTTTTTTTCTTGAAAAATTCAACATACCTTACAAACTGTTAATTTTCATAGTTTTTCTAAAATTTCAATGTAAAAGGAATTCATGAAACCTTTGTCAATAAAAATATAAAAATTGTAAGTCTAAATTCAAAATGACAAAGCAGTGTTTAAAAACAGTTTAAAGTTAAAATGAAGAATACTCTGTTTATATACAAAATATACAAAAGAATAATAAGAACAGCAAAAAACCAAACCTCTGAAGTTTGTGTATTTTATGGGCAAACCTTTCATTCAAAAACTCCTTTACTTGTAAAAAAATAATATAACACTGACAGTTGGTGTTTTTCTAGTGAACATCTACACAATAAGCTATCTGCACTCTGTCTACAATGGATAATAAAAACTCAGGATTCGAGTATTTAAGTCCATAAATAGTAAACTTACTATTGACTCACTGAATAGCACCAAGAGAAGGATGAATATCTTCTCTGAAACTTAAATATTTGTCTTAGGTAACTTTGTTATATACAATTTTAGTGGTCTTTGTAAATTAAACATCACATTAACAAACTCTATATAAGCAAGTTAAAATGATCTCAAGTTTTAAAAATGTAAAGTTTCTTAATTTCTTGTGTCAATTAAAAATTAAAATACAATATACTACAAAGTGCAAGTAAATTAACAGCCTTGTTCCAATCAAGGCTACATGAGATCTACCACAAGATAGCTGCAGATAAAAGTAATAACATTATGAAAAGATCAAACATATTGGTGAGTATGACGTGGCTGTCCATTCAAATTATTTTAAGATCTTAAACCAATGATGAACAAAGTTAACATACAAAAGACAGTTTGCTCATTCACAAACAGAAGCTACAACTTAATCAGGTTATTTCACTGCTTCTCATTGAAAGATGTAGAAACAGGCCTGATATTAATAATTAGTTCTGTGGTACACTTTTATCACTTTGCATGATATAGCATAGGCTAACAATTCACAAATTTTATATTCTTTTACAAAACCAAAATTGATTAGCAACAAATCTTTACTTAAAGTGCCCCAATAAGTAAATAAAATCAAAATGCTCTAATAAGCATGGCAATTATTCAAGCATATCAAAATTGAATAAACAGCTCTCTATAAAATGAAGAAGTTTTCTTTTTAAAATTTTTTATTCATTACTTCTTCTTGGTGACATAAAGATTGCTAGAAGTTCGTATTTATATTTGCATCAGAAAAAATTTATGAGATATAAAACAGAAGTAAAAAAAAAAACTTGCCAGTTTTCATCGGATATGGAATTCAAAATTTCTCTTAATGCTTTCTCAGGATTTTTGGAAATATTGTCATATTCTGAATGTCCACCACCACCACCAGTTTTTTGGTCTCCAGCATTACTTGGCTGATGTTCTTGGTTTGGAGGTCCAGCAACATTTTGGTGTACATTATTAAGTACCTGATACTGTTCATTTGAACTGGGTCTAGTGAAAGTGCATACAAAAACTTATCAGCCAAGTTATATACTTTTATACATTTTTCTAAGATGTAATGAGTATTTACTGGTTAAAAGATCTCTCATTTTATACAGCAAAATATCACTCAAATTTAGTTCTTATATCTTGATCATAACAAATAACATTTATCATACGAAATTTTGAGGGTGTACATCATCCAGTGCAACATGTAAGAAGGTGAAATAATTTGCACCTGTGACTCTCACAATTGGATGACTGCTTTAACCAGCTGAACTATTCCATCTTGAATGCTGGAAGCCTCAGTTGTATTACTTTGTTGGTTATCAAGAATAATATTTGACAGAACTCTGAAAGCTTGTAAAGCTCAGAATATATTTATTTATTTCACTTCTTAAGAAAACGTCTAACTTCAGAAGATAGTGCTCCAGCCTTAAATTAAAATGTATACACAAAGATCACTTAAAATTGGCACTTCCAACAAAGAAAGTCAATACATAGGTTCTGAGCTTTATAACCTTGATGGGTAAACTCAAGTGTCTTGTAAAATTCTATACATAATAACAAATGAAGTGAAAAGCTGAGTTAGCTAAAGCATCAGATGGAGTAGTAGGGTCACTGGTTTCGATTCTACACAATCTCAATTTTCACAACTTCAGAAAATATAGCATGTCAGCATGGCTATGCTATTTTCATGGTATTCAAACATTCAAAATCAATCCTACACAACACTTTAAGCATCTAAAGTTATGAAAAAAATTCAAACACCAACTAAGGGAAGGATAACATCTTACAATCAGAATAGGTAAATGTCTTACCTCTGTGGAAATAAAATGTAACTTTATTATGTGCCAACATTCATATTTTGTGCTTAGACTGAATAAAAATTATCAATGAACTTCTTTTTTGGATTGTACTATACTAATAATACAAATGATTTTTTGTATTAATGTTGGTTTTCCTATAAAATAAAATAAAATATATATGGGATATGTAAATGAATGTAGATTATTCAAAATTTATCTTCCAAATTCTAGTTCTTTGTGGCTCGAAAAGCTAAATATTAATTCATTGTGCAGTATCTATTCCTGAACATTGTTTATATTATGCCAATTTTAAATACACTAACTTTTTGCTATTTGTTATTAGTTGGTATAATTTTTTGTATAGATTTCTATAAATATCAGTTAGCATTATATTTCTCTGGATCTTTTTGTTTTCCAATATTTGCACAAAGCTACTAATGGCTATCTGTGATAACCATCCATAATGTTGAGCTGATAGACTTGAGGGAAGGCAGCTAGTCAAAAGCATCCACTGCCAACTCTTGGGCTATTCTTTTCTGACCAAATAGTAGTATTTGATTGTCACACTTACAATGTCCACTGCCCCACAGTCCAGAGCTCAATTCGTTTTTTTTTTTTATGTTAATGGGAGATGAATGATAGACCCACAGTCTAGCGCATTACCCAATGGGCCATGCTCAGTCTATTTCTCTGAAGATGCAATGGGTAACCCAATTACAGCTTAGTTTGGTGTATGAACTGAAAAAAAAACTAACAAACATCAAATGCTAAGCAATTCCTAAGTGGTTAAAAAACCGATACTGTAGAAACTATATGATTAACTACTGATACATTTATATAAAATTTGTATATGCGAAACAACTTTCAACAGTTACAGGAATTGATTGTGACTGTCAGCTCCACAAATATGTTCTTAATACATGATGCTCCAAATAGTATGGTATATTCAATTTGCACCTAGCAATAAAATTAAAATAATGCAAAAAAACAATTTGAAATTATGCACCATAAAAGTGCTAATTATGCAGAAAACTATACACTGACTATGTTGCAAAATTTGAGATAAAGCAAGACTTGCCTAAAGTAAAAACAGCTTAAAACACTAATACTTGAAAGGATTTTAGAGATAATTAACACAATTTCATCAATCTATAAAAATAATATGATTGCGTTTGTCTGTCTAAAACTTTTCTCAGAAATTTATCGATCATATGCTACAAATTTCATATCACTAGAAAAGCCTTTGTCCGAGAAGTCCAGATTACATACTGGCTTTACAATTCAGAATAACCTTAACTCTTCTTAGTAACATTTTTTAATGCAATGAATATGCTACACAATGACATAACGTTGTTGTCATCACATGATGACTGGCTTTGATTTCGACTTTAGTTTTTTATTTGCAAAGTATTTCACACAAATAACACTTAATCCGCATGTAATTTACTTAAAAAAAAAAAATAGTATTACACTAAATACAATTGCTGTGGGCTTTCTCGACTTATTTAAGTCTAAAATATGTATGCACAGTTTGCTCAAACACTTTTAGAACACGCCTTCAGACGTTTCTGCATATTCAGCTAAGTTTGCCTTCATTACAACTTTACATTTACTTTACTTTCCAATAACTTACCTTTGGTACATTTCATAGCCTGCTATGAATACCTTTTAGCTACTTTTTTTCTTTATTATGGGTTTTATTCTTCATTTTTGTGAGTTTCTTTGTTTAAATTTGTAAAACGTGTCATATGCTCATAACCGTTTCATATTCTGTACACTTTATAAATACCATTACTATACTTTATTGTTTAATTTATGTGTAGTTTTATTAAACAAAGTTATGTTTACTTGAGTTTGTTTGCCTGACCTCGTAAAATGTTTTCAAATAGTTCTTGTTTTGTTTGTAGTTAAGCACAAAGCTACACAATGGGTTTCTAAGGGTATAAGTCTGCAGACATACCACTGTACCATTGGTGGGCTTTTCAAATAGACCAGGATTTATTGACTTAACATATAATGCCTGCAAGAAAGCACAACTTAAATGCCATGTGTGAAAATAATAAAGAAAATTCAAGCGAAGGGCATGAAAACAACTGTAAATGTTTCGCAGGTCGTGGTTAGTTTAACACATATTTTCTTTATAAAATAATTAAAATAAACACACTTTTAGACTGTAGACATCTTTTGAAAGGCCATTAATCAGGCTGTCTGTCCAGCACACACCACTAACTAAGACATACGAAACAAACTAAATCATAATTAAATCACAAATTATAAATCTGGTAACATCAAACTAGACTTGACTAAGATAAGAAATCCAAACTTTGCTTATGTAGCAATTATTCAATCATATACAAATGACACAAAAAATGCTTGAACCTAATAATTACATTAAACAGATAGAAGACTATCTTTTTTTTTAAAGAGATACTTACATGTTCCTTTTTGTAGTTGGGGAAGTCAGGAAAGGCTTTTTCTTTGCTGGAAGGAATGTATGTAGTTTTCTCAATATGCTTATTAAGATTTTTTGTAAGTGATTCAATTAAAACCTTTACAGCATACATAAATTTCACAGATGGGTTTTATTGTAACAATTAAACTTATAAACAAGGTACTTCTTATACTACTGGATAAATTTCGATAATTAAAAAATATCCCACCTAATTTAATAGACAGCCCTATGTGTAGAAATTATGAAACACACAAGTTTAAATATTTTAATTTTAAGCTACATACGTACTGTATGCTCAGACAGAATGCAAAAGCTTCTTACCTACAGTTGTCTGTTTGACAGTTTTATGGGGCTGATGATCTTGCAACTTGGGAAGTTGTTCTTTCCACTCGATAGAAGCTTCAGACACTGGAAATTGCTTTCTCCTATAAATCGTTGGTAAAGTAGTAATTAAACACTAACAATTACATTGATAACACCATATGAAAGTCAGGTTTATTAGGAGAGAGAATAATAAACTTTTTACAATAGTTACTATTAATAATCTACATTGTAACCTTACGAAAGGACCTGATAAACTAGTAGAAACATATGGTGGTTTTCCACTTAAAGCAAATTCTTTGTGGGTCTTATGAGTTAAAGGTTGCAGAGATTATTACAATTTGATAAGTTATTTTACCAATTACAAGCTGAATATGTCACTTTAGTGACCACAAACAAGGAACACTATTTAGGGATACTTATATTTTAATCCTGTGGATTCCGATGGGTCAAAGTGTACTTCTCACAACTTTTTCACAGAGTTACATTCAAAATTTAATTAAACAACCTTATTATTAATGAGTGTCAATAAACTTGACATTAAAGGGTTGTTAATTTTAATATTACCTATGTTTTAATTTCTTCATTTAAGAGGAAACATTTAAAAGAAATATCAATCTTCACTCCTCTGTCACTTGACATGTCTGTGCTCTGATCTTTCCCATTTATCTTCAACAATACAGCTTCTATAGTGCCTAACCATTTATTGAAAAGGAAGAATATGAAACCTGAACCTCCTACCCTTTAAATTACTGAGATATAAATAAATTTGTTATATCCATTAGAGAAGCTCTTTCCACCTTGAATGTAGTTTTTAACTGACTCAGTTAACACTTTTAAAGCATACTCAAATTACACAAAAAATGCTAGAACCTCATAATTATATTAAACACTGAAGTTATGTTTCTAACACAAAAATCCACAGAGGCTATTCAAATGAAATAAGAAAAACTGTACGATGTAAAGGAGTATATTTATTCTTAGCACCTTAGACTCATACTAACTCTATAAAGGCTTCATAAATTCATAAGAAAAACTTCAGTAAAAATACTTTATTACAGATGGAATTTTTTAAACTTATTTATAGCTTACTTAGAAAACCAGATAAAATAGATTATTTTTATTCCCGATTTTTTGTGTTCTAAAATGCATATTTGAAATCTCCATGAATTATTTTTTGGACAACCAATATAATGACAAAAAAGTAGATTTACTGAAGCATGGCTTCCAAATATAAATGACCTTAACACTGATATAGATATATATTTTTATTTATTTCATTTTTTTAACAAAAGTAATTAATGTGTAAAAATTAGAAACTTCATAGGTTAGGTCACAATATTTATCTTGATAAAGTTACAGCTTTCACAGTTAGCACAGGCTGTAACCTGATCATATGTTTATCCTAAGCTGCACTGGAAATATTCTGCTGTGGTTTCTAGCTTTTCAGGTGAAGAGAGAGTACAAAGTACAGTAATAAGTGAAAAAAATTAAAAGCAAGCTGATACAAACAGGTTAGAAGATGAGGCTGTTAGGATAAATAACTGTTATTGTATGTTACAAACTGTAATCATTCCAGAAAAAAAAGGTGTTATTGATTTTATTTTGTATTTTTCAAATTTTCATTTCATTGTGCATTGATGACTTCACCACAGTTAGTGTTAGAGAAAATAAAAGACAAGACAGAAATTTTAATCAAAAATATTTTGCTAGTCATTTAGGAGGTTCTAGAGTTTATCCAAAAGAAATATGAAAAACTGTAAGATGAGAAGGAATACTTTCGTCCTTAGCATGAAAATCACCTTGGACTCAGACTAACTCTATAAATGCTTCATAAATTCACAGAAAAATGTTTAATAAAAATACTTTATTACAAAAACTGATTTTATGTGTGTACAACAGACTTGTAACATTTACCAGACACTTGCCAAATTTCATTTAGATACACTTAGCACATTCAGAGTTATGGTATGTAAACTTTCATGGTTACAAGGTCAGACAAATTGACTGAGTCCATACACATAGAATTAATTAATGAAACAAATTTTCACTCTTTTATCATATAAAAACAAAACATTTTACCATCGAGATATGATACATTTGCAAACACTGAATAACTTTTACACATTATCCCTTTTAGTAGATAATAAGCTTCTCATGAGGGAAATGTTCAATAGGTGGTAAGAGACTGGGAAGAGAAACTATATTTCTTACAATGTCATGGAAGAGTGAAGCAGGAATGAGATAAAGTAGAACATGGATGGAGCAAATGAACCCTCTAGCTATGGGTTCAGTCAGTGAGACCAAGTTTATAACCACAAAGTAACCAGCAGTTTCCATACTATAACTCATAACATAACAGCATACATATGTTTTATTTAATTTTATTCTTTTATTACCTTTTGAACCATGTCTAACTGAGAATTTCATTGCAAATCACTCAGAAAACATGCTGCTCACAGTACCATATACCTCATAAACAATTTTTATTATTCTTTTTATCTAACCTAATAAGTTTCTAATTTTTACACTTTAGTTACCTTTATAGCAATAAACCAAGAATAAAGAAGAAAAAAAATATAGTATTCAGTTTCAAAAATTTCACAAACCACCCCACTTTATCTTTTTCCCCCACTTCAAGCACTACTTATTACATAACTTGTAGAAAAGCAGATAGAAAGAAAACACCACAACTCTGATAAAAAATGCTATGTTTTGAAAATTCACTGTGTCAGCTAGTACCGTATTTCTTTACTAACGTAACCATTCTTTTAGATATAAAATAATATCTGCAGTCTCATTTCGAAGTTATACTTGCAAATAAAAATTTGCTTTATCTATTACATAAAATTCCATATGAAACATTAACAAACAAAAAAAAGATTTGATTCCAGTTGGTTAATATGTCCTTGTTATCAATTAATACTGTTTTTTACAGGACCTTGAAGATAATGTTAGTATTACTACCAGATGGCAGCTACCAGAGTAAATATGTATGCTAAGTTCAATAGTATAAATACCACACTGTTTTCATGTTCACCACCAGTCAGTCTACTGAACTTTCACATCATTACCAGCCAACAACAAATGGAAGTTTCATTGTAGAGAAACCATAGCCATAACCATTACACTACTTAATATAATGTTGTTTTTTTAAGTTTAAAACAAATTGAAAGTTGTTTTTTTTCTACAGTTAACGATTCATACATGATTCTTACCTTTCTTGGTGAACTAGTTCTGGATGGATCACTTGGGATCTTTGCAATTTTTCAACACTGATGTCATGGTTTGTGGCAAAAGGCAACATCTAAGTTATAATAAAAGCAACAAAGACATTTCTAGTCATCTATGTAATTTCTTTATTGTATTCTTTTATAACACACAAAAATTAAATTCAAATGGTTATTTAAATGTTTCCACTATGGTTTTTGTAGTTTGTGGCTCACACAACTTATTTCCTAATGTAAGACATAACACAATATTCAGATAGACACATCGATAGGTAATTATGCAATGAATTTATTTGATGTATTTTTTTATTTGACAAATGAAACCTTGAAGTCTGAGATACGAAATGTTTGATGAACAGTGTACTTCATACATGTACATTATTAGAGAACATTCTTTTCACTCCCAATTACTTACAAAAAAATGGTGAAGTGTATATTTCTTGTAGGCTTATGAAGTTACTAAAAATCTGTTTATATGTATTTTTAAGGAATAATTCAATAACAGTTCTTCACTTTGAATATAACTATCCATTTACTGGATCAGCATTATATAACTTATCACAAGTTTTCTTTAAAATATTATTGGCTATAAAGACATAATACAAAGTTATAGAGTCAACTAAACAAAAGCAAAGCTGAAAAAGTGTTTAATTTAAAAACTGAACACTGAATTTTATTGTTGTAAATCTGTAAACTTATCTCTGACCCATGGAAATGTGCATAGTTTTGTGAGTGTGGTTTTCTTCTTATTCTGTGATGAACATTTATCTCATGCTTCAAGAGAGCTAACACACATTTAATCTGTTGTATACCATTTACAAAAAAAGCTTGAGTCTCAGAAATAATTAGAGCTTAATATATTACACACACACACACACACACATATATATGTGTGCGTGTGCATACACAGACATACAAAATCTTAACCAAAAAATTAAACACTTCTTATCTGAAACTAAAAAAAAACAAGTAGAATTTAAAACAGTGTACAATTAATATGACAATTATTCTAGCTGACCTTTTCTTCTACAAAATATACATTGTAGTTATGCATTATTACATACAAAGACATATTCAAAGCTCTTGGGAAAAGCTTGAAAAGTGTATGTCAAGACCTACAAAAAACTTTTATAGTTGTCTCAAAAAATTAAGCATATATCCAAAAGATCAAGGAACAAGAGTACACTAACAAAGCTCTTAAATATTTCAACATGCATATTTGATAAACTACAGAACTGAAGAGTGGACTTAGTATGTGGCAACAGGTTAATGTATAAATATTTATCAAAGTAAAAAGATCACTACCAGAATTTCGTTTTTTTCTTTTGAATGGTTCACTTTCCTCTCACAATCTACATTATATCCACATTTTAAAGGTTCGGGTCTTCTTGTTCTCTTGTTAAATTCTACACTCCTCAAATTTTCAACATTCAGTTGACCTGTATACTTAAAATGCCTTATCTTTCGCTGATGTGAGGCAGAATTTGTCCGAGCAAGTACAGGTTTCAAAGGAATTGGAGAATCCTTCAACAGATGGGTACCTATATATTGTAAAAAGTAATCACTTAGCTTCTACCAACATTTTCAATTACTTATTTTTAAAACAAACAACATCTGAACAACTCTAAACAACCTTACACATTTTAAGCTTTTTCAGCCTCCTGGAAATTTATATGAACCCATACTCTAAATCTAACTGTAATTTTTTATTATATTTCAGACTCTACCTAGACGTATATGTTAGTAGAGATATAAAGGCTTTATTTTACACCTACACACATATATATATATATATTTAATGCTGATCTTGTTTTTATATTCTAAAGATTAAAATCAATACATATTATTTCAAAAGCTGATTTATGTTTTACTTTATCTTTTTTTTTAAATAGAAAATAAACATCAATCCATTAATCCCTTGCTGAATATCATTAAGTAGTTTTGTCAATTAAAGAAAATACTGTGATTTCTTTTACCATTTCTATTTTTTCATTTTTACAAAAAAATCTAAATTTACCATGCACTTAACATTTATGTACATATATTTTTAATTTTAAAATAATACAAGTTTATTTGTATGTTGTCAGATATACTATTACATTCAATAATAATACTTCAAAGCAATAGACTAGGTTTGTTCATTACGATGTAAAGTTTTCCATTTATCATTATCAGGTGTATACAGATTTTTTTCATTGCAATACAATATTGCAAAATCATTTAATGTGTATGGATGAACACTGTTAATAAATTAAATAGCAATCTTAAAATCACAAAGTAAGTTTACTTTGAATATATATGTTCAAAACATTTAGCCATACCTTTCCTTTTTTCTGGGAAAACATTCTTCTCTTGTTTATTTGAGATATTGTTTATAACGGGATAAGAACAAGATTTTATCCTGTTAGGCTCAGTTCTGTGAAGATTTTCCAGGCTTGAATTCTTTTCCAACAAACCAAAGTACAAAATACTTAGTTCTTATGAGTTTTAAAAAATGCCAGTAAACAAGAAATAAAATCTACCATTACTAAAACTGAGCATCATGCTAATCATAAAGGCATAAACACTATTTCATGATTTAAATAATCTGTTTTCAAAAATTGTTAGCCTGAAGAAAGTAAACATAAATAAGACTAATTTGGTGGTTCACCAGTTTTTCTGAATAATTAGCAGTTAAATTCCATAAAATAATAAAAAAAGAATAATTAATATGGTGTTAAAAATAAATAAATAACATAGTGTTAGAAAATCCTTACTCTAATTTTAATTTGTTGTGACATAAATAAAAGTTAATCCACATCACAATTCAAGCAATTTGTTAATATAAATAGCATCTCAACCATTACTATGACTGTCGTATTTCAGGCAACCTGAACAACCTCATCAGCACTGGATACAAAAAATATAGTGTGACTGATATATTATTATACAGTCTTCTTTAGTTTCACTCAGAAGTTCTTACTAATAATATACAAAAGAAGTCACTCAATAGTAAATAAAAACCTGTTGAATGTTGAGTTGTCTATTTGCTAGTGTTCTACATGTGTTCATACATAGAAGTATTCAACTTACCACATCTACTAAGTTTTCTGAAGAAGTGCATGTTCTACAAGTGTACTGAGTGCACTGCAGTTTGACTGCTACATATTTCTGAATACATCATAAACAAATACTATGAAATAAAATCAGACATTTCAATTACATTATTTAATATTATAGTAAAATAACTGTTCTTACTTTGTGAAAATTGCCACACTGTAAAATGTTGCAACTAAGAATTTTGTAATAAACTATTTTAAAAGACAGCAGGTGTTTTTGTTGATTTATTTCAAAGAAAAAGAAGTCATTATATTATTCTCTTATAATAAATTCTTAAAAGAGCATGAAAATGAAAATCCAAGCTAATGATTTATTTATGACAAATTTAGAGGCAGTGGCAATCTGAGCAACTGCTAATAGTTTTCAACTTATTGCAAATCTTAACATATTAGAAATGTACACTGATGAACTTGAGGAATATTAATAGCTTCTTGAATACCTTGTTTTTTCAATTACCATATTTTGCTAATTTTTGATGTATTATTTTTCACCAAAACAAAAGGTCTTTTTAGTGAAAAATAGTTAATTCAACCAGAACTAAATTAGCTGAAATTTTCCACCTAGCCTACAATATTTCTTATATAATGAATAATCTGTTTAAAGAAAAAAATAGTGCAACTGTATATTCTACATTTTTATGCAATTAACACATGTGTAATGTACAACACTTTTCATAAAGTTATCATTTTAAACTTTTTTAATATCTAAATATGTTTTCTTCAGTACTATCACTAGATGTAATACCCTCCTATGGTTAATGTTAAAAAAATTACCATTTTTGTGACTAGTCCTGAATCTTCAGACAGAGACCTCTCATAGCAACTCTTCAAGGCCTGATTAACATATTCTGGGGATGGCTTTCTCTTTTTCCTTTTGAAATATCTTCGTACTTCAGCCTTTTCTTGTTTCAGGTTTACTACTCTGGGATCATCATTTGACTTACATGTGGATGAGGGAGAGGTTGAGCATGATGCACCCAGTATCCATTCAATATCTGGTCCTGTTGGAAGCAGAAATCCTTGTCTTCCAGCAGAAGTAGGAATATTTACTGAATATAAAATCAGACCATTAGTAGTGCAACGTGGTAGCTTTCTTCTAGCAAGACGTGCTTGAAATGCTCTCATCAAACCATCAGCATCATATTTCAGCTCCATACTTTCTACTATGGTTATTAATGATCCCAGTTTGGAGGACTCCATCACTTGTCCCATGGTAGCAAAACATTCCAATGCTGCCTGTCTTACTCGCCTTTTGTTATCAACAAGCAATGGTGAAATAGCTTCACAGAGTTCACAAATATCTAAAGAATAACTTGGGAAAGTAAGAACTGCAGCAGTTATTCGGTTAATGATAGCCTCTCTAACACGTGGATTGCGATGATTTTTTATTGTCAGCAAAACTCCTAACACTAACTTTGGTGGAATTTCATGCATTATTTTATGAATCACTCTAGCACAATGTTCACGAACAACAAGGTTACTGTATCCTAAAAGTTTAGTCAACCCCAAAACTAAACTTTTGATATGTACTTTCAAACTTCCTTTCAGTTTTTCTACAAGAGTTTCATAAACACCAAGTACAGCAATGATTATGTTAAAATTCATGTCATCTAACAAACTAGAGAGAAATGACAAAAAGACAGTTAGTTGATCTTGAAGAAGATTTAACTCATCAGTACTTTTCAGAACTGCTTTCATCTGCTCTACACCTTCTATTCTCATGGAGTCATCTTCATTTAAAATGTTTCTGACAATACTGGACTCAAAAATACCAAATTTCAAAGACTGATTTTTTATTCTAGCTCCATCTAATTTTTTCCCACTTACACCAAAACTGAGATAAGAGTTAGGTATATTTTCTATCTTAACAGTGTTTCTAGATGTAGTTTCAGATCTTCTACTAGATTTGGCATTACTGCATTTTTCTATCAGCTTTCTTAATCCCATGTTTCCACTCTTTTCTAACTTATGCAAGTATTCAGTGAAGACTATAGGTCCAATAAGTTTTCTAATTCTCTGTATTGCCATGTAAGTTGGAGAAAACAAAGTAGGTTCACCTTGGCTCACCAAGTGAGTGAGAGATTCAAATAATATGTAAAGGTTCTCCACACCATATTCTTCAGTTAACAATGATGGTAGGCTCAAGATAGCACCTTTCTTCACAGAATATTCTTCAGACTCAAGACCCAATTGAATATAGCAACGAAAAAAACACTGTAAATTGTTAGTATACTTCAGGTATCTCTGAAGTACTTGAATAACAGAACGACGAAGAATCAAATTTTCGTGACCAAGATTTCGAATTAGTTGTGGCAAAACTACTAAAACACAAGCATCAGTCTCTACTCCAAGATAAGGTAAAAAATCTGCAATCAGTAGCACACAATGATATCTCACTTCCCACCTTGCATCACTCAATATTATGAAGAAGCCCTCAAAAATCATCAATTTGTTACAATGAAGAAACTCAACACCACCTGCACGTACCACTGCTCGAAGCTTGGAAAGAATTTCTAATCTTGTAGTTGCATTATGTCTCAACAGACGTTGCAGTAGTAAGCCAATATCTAGATCTTTAAGTACATTCTGCGACTTATTCATAGTTTATTTTATTAATACTTGTTGTAACCTTAATGTTTCCAAACTTTCCATGATTATCATATAGCTCTGAATTTAACCTCCTTCCTGAAAGGCAGAAAGCTTATGTTAATTTTTCTAAATGTCCATTATAAGTGGGGCAACATAAAACAATTAACCATGTATTAAAATAGTGAATATTCCCTCTGTGGTACAAATTCAGTAATAAACATACTTGAAATTGAAAATTTAGCTTTACACTAACTTAAATAAGATTCCTCAATAAAGGTTTTATAATATTCTAGTTCTTTTCATCTATTTACTTATAACAGCTTTCCTAATAAACTTTACATTTTTCTGATTAAAAATATTTTTTCATTTAACTTCTAATACATAAATTTTTTGTTTTAACAGAACTCTAAAAGAATAAAAAATAATTTCTGGCATTCGTCATTCTTTTACATTTCTATTCCATTGTCACTTCATCATTCAGAAACAAATGTTTACAAATGCATATCCATCTGAGGATTTACTAGAATATCAGTAAAACTTTCCTAAGATAATATTTTACAGAAACATCAGCTTGCTTAGTGTAATTTTGTTGTTATTTTTACAAAACAAGAGAATGACTATATATACACTAGTATCATATATGATTAAAACATCAGATACACTGATATCCAAAAGCTAAGTTTTAAATCATTCACAACACTAGGATTCATATATATATATATATATAACAAAGTTAAAACAACAAACAAGAAAAACAATAAACAAATCTTTATTCAGAAGAATGTTTTGTGTTTATTAACAATTGGCCAGCTGCTGTGAGAAACTTGCTGTTGGGGTGAAAAAGCTTTCCAAACACCTCCACAGGATCGTAACAGGATGAAATCAAGACAGAGACAAATGACTCAGAACTGTTGGATACTCCACTTTTATAACTGAGCAGGAGCCTTATAGTGCAGTATCCCACAAGTTATCAAGTTACACAGTTCACCTACTAGTCTCCTTTACAATTCTAGCCAAGCCAGTTTGTACATACATGCTAGCTTGAGATTTAAGTTGCAGCATGTAACTTGTGTAAAAGAATTAGCACTATATTTATGCCCTTTCAAGATCTGGTTCACACAAATGTCATGACTACATTCAGAACTGCAGGGAAATATTAAAAAAATATACCTGAATAGATATACTCTATACTAATTACAGAAGGATAAGATTATCAGCTATTGCAACTCCAAAACCACCCCTCCTTATTTTAGGATTTTCCCAGACACGACTATCAAAATTAAACATAACATAAAAAATATTCCATACTAACTATGGAAGGGTGAAATTACTAGTCATCGCAACTGCAACCATACCATTCCTTATTTTAAGGTTGTTCCAGACTCAAACATTAAAATTAAATGTTATGCAAGATGCTATGATGCCTACACCAAGACAAGAAAGGGGTTACATCACACACACACACACAAAAGCAAAGCTAAAACATAAAATAAAATTAAAATCTGCAGTTAAAGCTAAAATATACAATATCATAACCATCCAAACAAAAGAAAAGAATGAAATTACAGATGCTAATAGAGAATAACACCAAAATCAAAATTACATAGCCAGCCAGTTATAGTCTTAAAAACAAAATAAAAATATATAGGAGTCAAAATCTAAACATACCAAAATTAAACATTAAAAAGTGCAAAATAAAATCCAAGACATACAAGCCATCATTTAAACAAAATTAGAAACAAACATCACATAATCTGAAAACCAAGCTTAATTAAAACAATTATACATGTATACAACTGCTCATCCTACAGACTCAGTCCTTTACTATTGTCAGTTTTTCACCATACAATAATTGGTTTATAACTTGAGTCACAAGTTATCACAGGTTTTAGGTATTACTGTCAGTGCCATTCTTAGCATACTGTTAGCATAGATATATTGGCACTAGCTGACTAGCTTATGTAAACAGTAATAGCAATGACATTATGTATGATAGTTGTTTTATTTTCTGATAAATGATTTGTTAACATGTTAAACAGTTAGGCAATGAAGAATATAGCAACCGATAGAGTGACTGTTATAGTTAAGAGACCCATTCTGAAGTAGTCATATATCTGTGGAAGAAGTACATTGGGGTTCTTTTCATCTTACATGACTAAGATGACTCTACTAGATAGCATGTTTTAAGCATTAAATGCATGCTACATACAATATGGCTGATCATGTTAAATAAAGAATGAGAATCTTTCATATCACAAGTGTTTGTTACAATATGCAAAAACATTAATACATAAGCAAAGTCAAAAACTCGTGGCTACAAATATTAAGGATAACAATTGAACTTTTGAAGAAGATATCTTAGTATGACCAGTTAGTAGAATCTATGTTATACCATACAAGTCTTGTTTGGATTAGAGTTTTTCATCTAAAACTTAAATAAATTTATCTAAGATGGTAATGTTTCAGCATAATCTGTGTTTTTACATAACAGTGAAGTAAGTATCAATCATAAATGTGGATACATAACTTCAAAATCCAATTATTTCTTTATTCTGCACATATTGAAATAAGTTAAAAATAACCTGACCACATCTTGGTAAAGTGAAACAATGAAAGACAAGAAGTCAGACAAAAACTGGGTAAAAGATTTCTGTTTGTCAGTGTCATTATAAACAAAGGTAAATTTTCATGAAGTTTGATAAGATACATGAACATGAAAAACAACATGGAATAAATTTAAACATTTTTATAAAAATACAGAATGAAACTTCCAAATTCATGGGTAAAAATAATCCACTATTCAGAGGAAAGCAAGTCTTGTAACAGGCATTATAAGTCAAAACAGATCAAATTAGAGAAAAAGCTAATTGAGAAAACTATTGGAAGGGCTACAAAATAGATTTAAAAAATAAATCTTTTTCTGGAAAGGTGAGAAGTGAAAATTTCAAACTACAAGATCTGCTTTTAAGCATTTATTAAATTTTATCTCAAGATACTAATGGAAAATTTAGTTTTTTTTCATACATTTGGAATCTAGCAGGTAATTGCTCTATTATTTAAATGTTTGTTAAAATTGTAATTTTTAATGATGGAACATTTAGCTAATATTTTTTGTTAGAAACTGTGCATTTAATTACAAGAGGATATCCTAAGTATTAGAATATAAATTAATTTACCAGGAAAACCTTCCTCAACTCTTAACTACTGCACTGATGCATATAGTGTAATATAATATTCAAATCATACTGTATTTGGCTTATCATTAAAAAATTAAACATTAAAAATTGTTTTATAAGACTAAAAAATTTGTCATAAAAAATCTTTGATACTTAACAAACACACTGGCATCAACTATAAACAAAATATTGACAATTTTTAGCATTTGCCCTTTCACAAGATAGATCCACTATGTACTCACTACCTTTTTCACTGTTGTCACAATATTTCTAGTAATTATTTCCATTCTAGTGGCAACTGCTATCATTAATGAATACTAAGATTTAAGAAAATACTTAAATATTACATAAATATCAATGGTGTTTAAAAATAACAACAAATCATTAGAGATGTACCAACGTATATATATATATAAATTCCATCAGTGGTACTTAGACATTAAAATAACATTTAAAGGACAACAAGGGTCTATTTGTCCATCATGCCTGTCCCATCCACTTAAAAAAAAATTCAAATCCTGCCCTGATCATTGAAATATTTATCAAGCCTTCCCTTAAAGTTACTGCACCCACCACATCTGAATGTAACCCATTCCAACAGCAAGAAAAGTAAAACTGCACAAGCTAAACATGGATTTTACCCTGCCAAAATGTATATTTGTGTACCCTTAATTTATAATTCTCACCATTAAATATGAAAAGAGATTAAATCCTTTAATATTCTTGAACACCTCAAACAGAACAAGGTAGTGTGGTCTAACAAAACAAACAGCATTTTTAAAAATTCTAGTTGTTCTGTACAATGTGATTATAAGAAGATTAGGCAAAAGCACAAAAGAAAAACATATTGGTGGGTTTATAACAATGTGGGGATTTTTTTTCTGTTGAAGAAGTAGGAATTATTGTCATACTTGATGGTCATTTGAAAAATGAACAGTATCATAGCGTTTTAGTTTTTCATGCAATGAGCAGTGAATCATGATTAATAATCTATTTAATGAGAGAAACTTTGAAAAGAAAGAAAGAGTTGGTGAAATAAAACATTAAATTATGCAACAGCTGCCAACCCAGAGGCCTCGTGCTAATCAAACTGAAATTTGTAGCACTGATGGAAAACTAAGTAATGTTTTAAAGAAAGAGACAATTATCTAGCCTATGGTACTGCTGAAAGACTGTACACAGTGAACATATTTTTGAACAGCCTTCCACCTATGCTGCTTCTCACTTTTCCTGTCTATTTCGTCTGAAAGCGAGTCAAAATTTATACTTATCTCTAAAATTGTTTCAGTTAGTATATGTACACTATTAATAATAATATTATTAATTTTGTAATGCAGTCACACATATACTGTCGATAAACGTCACATGCAAGCCCAATATTTATTCAAATTTCAACTGTAACTTGCAACATTTAGTCAATTAGCACAAATTTTGTAATACTTAGTAATAATAATAATATCACGTATGATCCAATCAAAATTTATTTACTTCAGTTACTGATTGAAATAAATGAAATACAAATTAGTGTATTTATTATATATTAAAATACAATCGATATACTTACGATGGGTTAAAACAACGTGCAATATTTTTAAATACTGCCAAAAAGTAGCTTAACAGTGATACTTATCATGTCCATGAACAGGTACTTATTTGCTGTTACACAAGGAGCTGCGATATATTATTACGTTACTATAGTAACACTGTATATGATTAGACATATATTACTTATTCAAAATTCCAAGAACAGACCAAAAGCCACTCCTCTAGCGGCTAACTGTAAAAACAATTACACATGTGACTATCCGTAATTCTCGTTAACTCAGAACCCCATAAATATAATAATAATATCAGAGTTTCTAGCTACTGTTCATTTATTTATACTTTTCATGTTTCCTTAAAATTCAGGGATTGTCATGAAATATTTTTTACGATTTTAAAAAATTCTTATTAAAATAAGACTATGTATTTTTATTTAGTATTATAGGAAAGCTATTTAGGCTATCTGCCCAATTTTAAACTAATAACTATAGAAAGCAGCAAGTCAACAGCATCCTATTAGCCACTATTCGCGATAATGAATCTAATGCCACTCTTATAACGCACCCACATTAAAGTGAAGGGAATATTTTTGTAGTTTTTGGCATTCACAGATGAAACCGGTTCCCGAACAAGTGTTAGTTATATTTGTTTGTTTTGAATTTCGCGCAAAGCTACACGAGGGCTATCTGCGCTAGCCGTCCCTAATTTAGCAGTGTAAGACTAGAGGGAAGGCAGCTAGTCATCACCACCCACCGCCAACTCTTGGGCTCCTCTTTTACCAACGAATAGTGGGATTGACCGTCACATTATGACGCCCCCACGGCTGAAAGGGCGAGCATGTTTGGTATAACGGGGATTCGAACCCGCGACCCACAGATTGCGAGTCGAGCGCCTTAACCACCTCGCCGTGCCGTGCCGTTAGATATATGAATCCGCGATAACAGCAGAGTTCACCCAGGAATTTATTAGGGTTTTCGTGTGAAAGATAATTCAACTAAATTTTCTTTTTGGTATGAAAACAATGAGGCTGGTCACGTTATAAACAAATTAACACAATCTTTATTTTAATAATAAATAGAAAATCAGTGCCCATACCAACTCTTCCAAGCAGACAGTCTTTACTACGCGCCCTCTATTCCTGTATATAAGTGCGCTGGATAACATGAGACAAATTAATCGGAATTGAATCGCAGATAGGCAGAGATAAAGACGGACAATTGAGTCAAGCGCGGTAGTGACCCTAAGTAAGTGCGTGAATCATTGTGAATTATAGCGTGTGTTTAAAGAGACTGTGGATATTAAGTGTATTACAAAGTTGAATTGAGAAAGAATAAACTAGTTTTATTTAAGAAAAGACTTGTTTGTGAAAGTGTTATCGGAAAGGATGGATGATATTCACCATCAAGTGCGTTCAAACTTGCAAACGTTTGCTGATTCGATGAAGTTATCTTATGATAAGAGATCTGCTGAAGTCAGCTTTGTACCTGGAGACAAGGTATGGTTGTATAATCCCAGGAGGACCAAAGGGATGTCTCCTAATTTTTCTTCTCCATGGGAAGGACCATATTACATAGTGGATCGTCTCTCAGACGTGACTTTCCGGATAAAATGTGGTCGGCGAGGTAAGCCAAAAGTGGTGCATGCCAACAGGACTTGGTGTTATCACCGTCCAGGACATTTCACTTGGGACGAAGTGAACAACAGAACAAATGATGCTTCTGAAAACTAGCGTCACGTGACCCCCGCTGTCCTAACACTGCCCCTTCCTTAGTATTGTTCGTACCAAACAATAGCTACTTACATTAAACCAATAAA